TGCTCGGGCAGGGTCGCCTAGGAAACGGGCCAGGGGCGCGCCGACCGAGCCTCCCTATGGCCGCGGTTGTGAGCCAGGCAGGGGCAGAGAGCTGCGAGTGCGAGCGCGCCCCCCCAGATGTTGCGCCCGGTGCGGCCGGCCCGGAAAAAGGTGCCGGAACGCGGTTCCGCCGCGTTCCGGCTGAAAAAAAGCCCTGCCCCCAGGTATAAACAGAGGCATAGAATCAAAATCACGTGAAGTATTAGTACCACTTTATCAAGCCATAGTAAGGCCACACTTGTAATACTGCATCCAATTTTGGTCACCACATTACAAAAAAGATATTGAGATTTTAGAAAAAGTGCAAAGAAGAGCAATTAAGTAAGATGATTAAAGACCTGGAGACTAAAACATAAGAAGAACAGTTGCAGGATTTGGGTTTTGTCTAGTCTAGAGAAAAGAAGGACTGGGGGGACATGATAGCAGTATTCCAGTATTTGAGAGGTTGCCACAAAGAGAAAGGGGTCAACATATTCTCCAAAGCACCAGAGGGCAGGACAAGAAACGATGGAAACTAATCAAGGAGAGAAGCAACCATGAATTAAGGAGAAACTTCCTAACAGTGAGGACAATTAGCCAGTGGAACAGCTTGTCTTCAGAAGTTGTAGGTGCTTACTCACTAGAGGTTTTTAAGAAGAGACTGGACAGTCATCTATCTGAAATGGTATTGAGTCTCCTGCTTCAGCAGTGTCCAACTAGAAGACCTCCAAGGTCCCTTCCAGCTCAATTCTGATTGAAGATAATGCAGTTTTTCCTTGAGTTTTATTTTTACCTACTGATCACTAAATCCTATTGACATTTTGCTGCACTTTTAATCTGTCTATTGAGTCCCCCCCCCCCAGCATACTTGTTTCTTAATACTGACAACTCATGCTTGTGTGGAGTTTAAATCTGAATATGGAAATGTTCAGGGTGCCGTTGATGAAAGACCCATTGGAATGAGGCTAGTAAATATTTCTCAGGGAGACTCAAGTGTTACGATATAAATTAATTTATACATACTGTGTGCTAAAAATACAGTCAGAGAGATGTATCTGTGGCAAGCTGCCTACTTGGTTTCTATGCCAACCATCAGTAGAGTTCATTAAAGTACATCTGGTTTCCTCCAAAACCAGCTTTAAAGGGAATCAGTAAGATTGCCGTTCAAGGCCACAAGAGAAAGACGTGTTGGCTTAATTCAACTGTTGTATGAATACAAATAGGAATAGTTTACTAAGAAACAAAAAAAAGTCAGTACTACAAAGAAGTTTACAATCAAGCCAAAGATTAGAATTGAAACTGCATTATTATTACTATTGTCATCATTACTTGCATTCTAGCCATGCTGTAAAGATTAAAAACTAGTGGAATATTTAGTCTACTCTAGTAGTAGGGAGGAGAGCCAGTATCGTGTACTGGTTAAGGTACCAGGCTAGAAATCAGGAGACTATGAGTTCTAGTCCTACCTTAGTCCTTAGTCCTACCTAGGATGGAGGGAATGGCAAATCACTTATGAAACCTTGCCAAGAAAACTAAGGGATTTATTGAGGCAGTCATCAGGAGTCAATATTGACTTAAAAGAACCCCCCCCAAAAAAGCAGAAAGGACCTAGGCAAACTCTGAAAGGGAGGTAAAGCTCTGTACTGTCTTCTGTCCCTCCATAAGTTTAGTAAAAGAAAATAAATAAACATAAATAGATATAGCTGTACAAATATTTTGTATTGGAATAATTTATTCAGACTTTTGTCCTGGGATTTTATTTTTTAGGAAAGAGAATTCAAGCTGCAAGCATGCCTCTGGCAGGAGGTTAATATAAAAGTTCCAAGTCAAATAGATCACTATATCATAAACCACAAGTGTACACAGGTTAAATAATTATTGTAGCTTCTTCGGGTATGTTACTCATGTGTAAGCTAAACACTCCTTTAAAAGCTCTGTCTGGACTATAATTTACAAAGCTCTTTAATTCCAGCTTTACCTTATCATAGAGAATTTGCCAACTATAGAAAAACATAGCAAGGTTATACAATGCCTCCTCCCTCAATATTCCTATCCATTTTCACCTGGAGAAACTGCATAGATCTACTTATCTACAGAATGGCAGATCCAAAAACATTCTTTTAAATAGAGGACTAGTTGAGAGGAAAAGTATCCAACAACATATTTGCCTTCTGCCTGTAAGCTCCTTTGAGAAATTGGACATCTGGAATGCAGAGGAACTTTTAGGCTGATCAGAAAAGATGTAGTCATAGCCAAAGCAGGAGAAATATCTATCATTTCTAAATAACAAACATCTTAAATTGTAAAGATATTGTAGCATGTCATGCTGGAAAGATTTTTCTGAAAACAAAGCATAGGACAAAGTGGAGCCCCTTTTGTATTTGCCTGCTCACATGAAGGTTTGAAACTAGACAGAAATAGATCTGCATAAAGTTCCCAACCTGTACATATTGAACTGGGAATTCTGAATGGAAATAGTATTCACATTAGTTTGTGTACAAAGAAATTTTTCTGCCACAAAATAATGTTCAGGAGTGCATAGAAAGCTGAATTTGTATTCCAGACATGTCAAACACAAGGCCTGCGGGCCGGATGCAGCCCGCAAAGTGGTTTCATGTGGCCCGTGAAGCCATCCTGGAAACAGTGAGGGAATGGCCCCCGCTGCCTTGGCCCTGACCCAGGTCAGCCGGGAGCCAATGTACAATTTTGTGATGGCCATCTATGCTGAAACGTATTCAGTTTTAGCTCCACGAGGCCGTCTGGAAACAGCGAGGAACCAGCCCCTGCTACATTGGCCCAGCCCCCTGGGTGCATGCTGGGGAGGTGTTACCCTTTGTGAGGAATGAAGGAATGCACCATCGCCTGGAAGTGGCCAGCAAATGGCCCTCACCTACTTCACACATCCGGCTTGATGGGCTCCGGGGGGGAGGAGTTTAGGCAGGCAGCGGGGCATTCTCCTCACAGTGCCGAGAGGCTGAGCCAGGTGGCGAAAATCCAAAAAGAAACACAAGGCCGCCCAACTCCCAGCCTGCCTGGTTTTGGCAGGCAGCGGGGCACTCTCCTCATGGCGCTAAGAGCTGAGCTGGGTGGTGCAAATCTGATAAGAAGTGCAATGTTGCCCAACCCCCAGCCTGCCCAGTTCCAGCTCAACCTCTCGGTACTGTGAGAGCGCCCCGTTGCCTGCTGAGACTGGGCAGGCTGGGGGCTGGGCAGCAGCACGCTTCTTTTCAGATTCATGCCACCTGGCTGTGCTGTGAAGAGAGCGCCCCGCTGCCTGCTGAGACCAGGCAAGCTGGGGGCTGGGCGGCGTCGCATTACTTTTCAGGTTTGCACCGCCTGGCTCAGCCTCTCGGCGCTGTGAGGAGAGCACCTCACTGCCTGCCAAAACCAGCAGGCTGGGGGCTGCGTGGCATTGCGTAGGTAACGTTGACTCTCACACTTCTCATGGCATCCCGTCCCCCAGAGCCCACCAAGCCAGATATATTAAGTAGGTGAGGGCCATGTGCTGGCCACTTCCAGATGATGGTGCATTTCTTCATTCCTCATGAAGGGTGACACCTCCCCAGCTGCGTTTCTTGCCTGTTTTTCTCCCTCCCTCGTCTCAAATATTTTCCCATCACTCTGTACTTAGGAAGAAAGGAAAGAAGAAAAGGAGAGGGAGGGTCTGAGGGAAGTCATGCCTTAGTCCTGCCCTGCTGCCCTTTCACCATCCCCTTGCCCCCCTCCTCCAGGCCTATCCTGGGGTCTCCCATCCTATTGCTAAGGAAGCTTTGGATACAAAGCTGGGTCTCCTCCCATGAAGAGGGAATGGGCCTCCCTCTGACTTTGCCCTCGTACTCATCATGAGCAGCCTGGGTAAGGAGAGCAAGCACAGCAGCAGCCTTGAGGAAGAGGTAAGTGCAGCTGGGCGCCCCCTTGGGGAAGTGGGGCTGGGCTTGGTGCCGCAGGTGCTCAAGGGCCAGGCTGGGCGTTTGACCTCTGCTGCCCAGGGCTCCGGGCAGCCCATGCCATCATCCATCCCCCCCCCCCGCATGGCCTGAGAGGAACAGTGAGGCTCCTCCAGTGGATCATGCCTTGGCACTTGCCCTGGTCCCACTCCCTTCTGCCAGAGACCCTCAGATCTATATCACTCCTGCCCAGGCCCCCACAGGCCCCCTTGACGCGAACGATGTAGAGCTGGCCATGCCCACCCAGTAGGCCATGCCCACTCCATCCATGCCCACCCAGTAGGCCGCACCCACCCTGGCTGCACCCACCCGGCCCCCCAAGGGCAACTGCAATGCTGATGCGGCCCTCAGTGAAATTGACTTTGACATCCCTGTTGTATTCAAACAAATGTAATGACAAGACCTCTTCAGACCATTTCAATCAAATGTGAGGATGCCTAAAGAGAACTTTGGATCTTAAGCTTGGACCATGTGAAGTAAAAAGAAATAGCATGCAATGATACTCTTGAGTTATCTCCCAACTCCAAATGCAGAGGTGTAGGAAAGTGAAGAATTAGTACTATTGGAATCCTGCATGGTAACAGTAGATGGTAATCAACTCTAGTCAGTATGGTAGATGCCATATTGCAAGTACTATATGTTACAAACTGAACGAAATATACTGTGTATAGTTCAGGGTTGAACTGTAGAGTCCTTTGTGCTCTCTGAGCCTGATTGTTTGCTTGCAGTTATTTTGTTACCAGATTAGGTAACTTAGTTTCATTACTTACTCTGGTAATGAAATGTCTGCAAGCAAACAACTAAACTTAGAAAGCACTCCAAGCTAATATATGGCTCCATCTGACACCATCCATGGTAAATACGTACAAGTAGTCTTAAATTGGAGTATAAAACAATGTTTCATACCTGATACTGAGAAGAGGCCTTGTTTTATGAACTTGAACATCACACATTGGGCAATATTTGTTGGTTTCCAGGTAGCGGACAATGCAGGTTTTACAAACTAAAAAAGAAAAGAAAACATTGGTAGAAAAGGGGAGTCATGCAGAAAAATGTGCCAGAATTTATGAAATGAAGAGATATCCAAATCTGGATCAAATCTGGCCTTATTATGAAGCAAAGCAGTGGTTACTCAAGCTAGCTAGAAAATCATCTGAAGTCAAAAATTCTTTCAGGGCTGCAGTTTTTGATATATTAGTCATAGACAAAAGGAAACATTTGTCTGATTTTTTTTTAAAAAAAATGCACAGCAACAAAGATAGAAACTTGACATGCATTATAGGATAGGAATAAAAATTGTCTATTCAAAATCCAGCCAAATGGTTGATTTATTAACCATATGCCAAGCCCAAGTCCAGATAAATGGGGAGGGTTAGGGAAAACAATGGTGAACATCCTGTAAAAAAAAAACCTCACCAGAACACCTTAAGGCAATTACTTAACATGATTTGGGTATGGATACCAACAGTGGACCCTCCGGGCTGGATAGTAACCAGCAAGCTATTGGAGAAATGCAACAGCCAACTTTTAGTGGGTTTTTATGACATTGTTGGATTGTTGGAGGAAAGTCTTTCCAAAGCCCAAGAATTGACGATGCCCAAGACAAAAGGGGTCGCCTATGCTGTACAAAGTTATATCAAATTGGAACATGGAATATTAAAAGCATATCCCTTGGGAAACTCAAAATTATAAATAGAGAATTGATTAGCGTGAACAGAGACATCCTTAGCATCAGTGACGCTAAGGCAGTGATGAATTCAAATCAGTAGAGTTTATGGTTTATTTTTCTGAAAACAACATCATCAGACAAAAAGGAGTTGCATTCTGCATAAGCAGACAAGTAGCTAAATGTGTTGAGAATCACAGAGCATGCAGTGATCACACAGTATCTATCCATATTTGAAGCAAGTCACTCAATATCACCATACTACAAATCTATGCTCCAATTGTAGACTCAGATGATGATGAAAGTGGACTTTTTTACAGTGAGTTTCAATGTGCTCTCAAGCAAATATCAAAAAAGGATCTTTTTTAATATTATGGGTTGAGCAAGGGTTGGATTAGAAAACTTCCAAGGACCATTCCAACTCTGCTATTCTGAGGACTACCTGTACTTGTTTTTGCTTTTGAAACAATGATTTTACTAGCCTTCTCAAAATCACACAATCCCTTTTGCTAAGAATGTAAGCACATTTGCTATAAATTTAAATGAGAAATTGTACTCCAGTGGATGAGTGTGTAGTAGTAACTTCATGTCTCACGAGTTTTGAAGGCATCTTTAGACGACTTGCTCTTTATAAAATAAGAGGTTTATTTATATCAATAACTGACATTTAACTGTACTCAGACATCATACATACGGTCAAATATGTAATGCATTAAATAATAAGAAGCAGGGGTATCTGATATTGTGCTAAGTGATTACTTTTTTCTTTTCTCATTCACTGGTGACTAACTGGCAAGTAGAATTAAATGGTTAAGATGAGAACTCAGACTTAACTAAATGTTGCCTCTTTATTTTAACTATGAGCATCTTGTCAATTGGAATCTTTAGCTTATTAGCTTTAGCCTAACTCATCCTTCATAGCATTAGCATCATATCTTGCTGTTTTAACTGTCACTCAGGTCCAAACTTACTAACAAATTTATCTTTATTGGGCAGTAGAGAGGAAGAATACTTTGAAAGTCAGGGAAATCAAGGTTACCAAGACAATTTGAAGAATGGGAGATTAGCTATCCTGTAGTGAAGGGAATATAGTGGTGGGATTCAGCCAGTTCACACCAGTTCAGCAGAACCAGTAGCTAATTTTTTGTTGCCCAGGCCCAGAATAGTCTTCCGGAAGTGGCATGCACACAGAGAACTTGTTCACATATTTGAATCCCACCACTGAGGGAATACATGTTCTGAATGGACAACAGGATTATCCTGAGTATTTGAAATAGACCCTCATCAACAAGAAAGTCCAGAGAGTCTGTCAAGTTCAAACAGGGTACTTCCTTATTTAACACTCACATGAATGTAAGCATTCCACAATAGTTGTGGCATCTATAAAGTAGCCTCCACATAAGGCACACATTAAGTGGGGGTTCAGCTCTGTGATTTTTATCCTGGTGGTTCTGTGCATCCTGATGAATTCAGGCAGTTGTCTCTGAGAAAAAAGAAAGAAAGAATAACACAAGAGTAAATCAAACAGCCTCACCCATCCTGAGAGGGTAATGATTTGGCAGAAATCTCACTTTACAAACTGATGGCCAACAGCAGGCTGCAATACTAAAGATAGCAACTATTATCTCATAGACAGTGATTATCTGTTTTGACAAGATTTTCTCATAGGCAAGGATTATCTGATGTTGGACTAAGAAAAAGCTTTCATCTTTTCCACATAATCTTTGACTGGTGCTATCAAATAAAACATGGAAAGGACAAAGTTATTCCCAGCATCCAGAGGCCTTAGATGTCACTCTTCTATCACACTATTCCTTTAAGATAAGTACAGAAGTTCAGTCAGGTATTCTCAAAACCACATTCTTTTTTCAAATAATAAAATCCCACTTCTCTTCACAAAAAGGAAATCCAGGGTGCCTAATAAAATTCATGAAGCCAAACTGCTACTCACAGACACAACATTGATAAAAAATTATAAAATGTAGTGATTGTTTTGAAACTCGAACATAACACAATGTATTTATAGTACTTATTTTATTAGGCACCTGTAGGTGCTATTTATTACTTATTTCATTTAACTACATGTACCTTATTATTTAATCAAATAGGCTCAGGCTAACTACCATAAACTTTTTAGTAGAATATTTAAATAAAAACAGCAACATAAAGAAATAAATACCAGATATTGCACAAAATGCATAAAAATAGTTGCCATTTATTTATCTGTAGTAATCTTTATATTCTTTTGATAGCTACTTTAAGCACTCACATGACTAAAAAGGCAGGATATAAACTGAATAAATGTAAAAATACATAATTATATAAACTATATGAAAATAACCAATTAAAATATCAATAAAGGTGAAAAGACCATACCAGGGGAAGACAAACGTTCCAAGTCATAAAGTCATGCTTAAATAAGACCGATTTATTTGTGGGCCAAAAATCAACAATTGATACAGGGTTAGGCAAGTGCCTCTCAATACTTTGTTTCCAAATTTGAAACAGAACGCTATGTAAAGATTTATTTTATTATTTCACGAATTCATTCCCATCCAATTCAGAAAAGAGAAAATACGTCTCTGCATAAGATCTCAGCACTTGCACAGGGCCAGATGGCAGAAGGTGATCTTTCAAGAAAATTAGTTTATAGGTAATAAAGATAATGCAAATTACCTTCAGAAACACAAAATAGCAACCAGTCTGGCTCTTTAAGTCTAAATGTCTCGTGCTGCCAAATCATTAACTCCATAGTCTGTCAGCAACCATCTGAGCTGACTTCAAAAGACAGCTTGCCATAGCTATCTGCAGTCATTCAAGCCACCAAGATATGAGACTATCAGCCAATGCCATATCACACTCTTCAAGGGACAGGAAGAGTTTGCTTCACCAGTCTGAGCTGAGGAAAAACATTTAAGCAACTACCCATTTCCCTCACCTAAGGAATGATGATGCCTCTCTGAAAAAAGGAAACTCACCAGGGATCAGGTTAAAGAAAGCAAACTTAACAACAACAAACTACTGTATTTTCCGGCGTATAAGACGACTGGGTGTATAAGACGACCCTCAACTTTTCCAGTTAAAATATAGAGTTTGGGCTATATCAGGGGTAGGCAACCCAAAACACTCAAAGAGCCACTTGGACACGTTTCCCACCGAAAACAAAACACTGGGAGTCGCAAAACCCTTTTGATATCTAAAATGAAGATAAGACTGCATATATCCTTTTTTACCTTTATGATATGTGTGTGTGTGTGTGTGTGTGTATGTTTGTGTGTGTATATATAAAATAAAGGTAAAAAAGGATATATGCAGTGTTATCTTCATTTTAGATGTCAAAAGGGTCTCTCTCTCTCTCTCTGTCTCTCTTTCCTCTCTCTCTCTTTCCTTTCTTTCCTCTCTCTCTTTCTTTCTCTTTCCTCTTTCCTCTTTCTCTCTTTCCTCTAACTTTCTCTCTCTCTTTCCTCTCTCTTTCTCTCTCTCTCTCTTTCCTCTTTCCTTTCTCTTTCCTCTCTTTCCTCTCTTTCTCTTTCCTCTCTTTCTCTTCTCTTTCCTTTCTCTCTTTCCTCTCTCTTTTCTCAATCTTTTTTCTCTTTCCTCATTTTCTCTTTCCTCATTTTCTCTCTTTCCTCTCCCCCTCTTTCTTTCTCTTTCCTCTCTCTCTCTCTCTCCTCTCCCCCTTTCTTTCTCTTTCCTCTCTTTCTCGCTCTCTTTCCTCTCCTTCTCTCCCTTTCCTCTCTTTTTCTCTTTCCTCTCCCCCTCTCTCTTTCCTCTCCCTCTTTATCTTTCTCTTTCCTCTCTCTTTCCTCTTTCCTCTCTCTTCTCTTTCTCTCTCTTTCTCTCTCTTTCCTCTCTTTCTCTTTCTCTTTCTCTCTTTCCTCTAACTTTCTCTCTCTCTTTCCTCTCTCTTTCCTCTCTCTTTCTCTGTCTTTCTCTTTCTCTTTCCTCTTTCTCTCTCTTTCCTCTCTTTCTCTTTCTCTTCTCTTTCCTCTTTCTCTTTCTCTTCTCTTTCCTCTTTCTTTCCTCTTTCTCTTTCCCTCTTCCTCTTTCTCTCTTTTTCTTCTCTTTCTTTCCTCTTTCTCTTTCCTCTCTCTCTTTCTCTTTCCTCTTTCTCTCTCTCTCTTCTCTTTCTCTTTCCTCTTTCTCTTCTCTTTCTTTCCTCTTTCTCTCTTTCTCTCTCTCCCTCTCCCTCCAGGTTAGGAGAGAGAGAGAGAGAATGAAAGGCAGACGGCGCCGAACAGGCGGGGAGGGGGACCAGGCCGGGAGGCAGCGGCTCTAGTGGCGGCAGCGGCGGCACGGCAGCGGCCACTGCAGCATCGTCGGGAGTCCACGCCACCCCCAGCCTGGCCGCCGCGTCCTCAGCTGAATGGGCGGGGAGGGGGAGCAGGACGGGAGGCAACAGCTCCCGGCCGCCCCCCCCCCATCGTGTCCAGGGAGAGGGAGCAGGATGGGAGGCAGTGGCTCCCGGCTGCCACCCCCATCGTGTCCTCAGCTTATATAAAGGAATAAAATAGAATACCCGTATTTTCCAGCGTATAAGACGACTGGGCGTATAAGACGACCCCCAACTTTTGAGAAGATTTTCAGGGTTTAGAAAGTCGTCTTATACGACGGAAAATACGGTATTCTGATTTCTGAATTCTTTTTGAAAATGAGATCTTTTTTCTTAGCCAATTTTATCAAAGGTCAACTGAATGGGGTAAAAATTCAGCCCTTGACATTCTGCAGGAATTAGTGGGAGGATAGATTTGTTTATTTATATCCCAGCATTATTCTTTTTATTATTTTTACAAATGACTCAAGGCATCGAACATATCCAATACATCTTATTTTCTCCACGACAATAGCCTTGTGAGGTGGGTTGGGCTGAAAGAGTGACTGGCCCAAAGTTACCCAGCTAGGAATTGAATTCATGGTTTATCATTTTCTAGCCCTGATGCTTTAACCACTAAATCAAACTATTGATATATAGATTCCTACCTCTATCTGTTTTCCTGATCCTACCTCCTTTTCCACCCTAGTATATGTTAAATAACATCTCTTAAATAGGCTATAAGGAGATATTTTGATATTTTTGATATGTTTGATATTCATGGTTCAGTGGCACTTTCAAGATAGCTTTGTCTGCAACTTCCAGGTTACTGCCCTGTACTAAACCTGCGAATGAAATCATCCTCTCTCTGTTTAAGGTCAGAAGAGAAAATGGAAGAGCTATCTGATACAAGAACAAATGCACACTAGACAAGCGTCTAACTACATGCTTGAGAAAGATTTTGGATATTATAATAGCGGCACTGAGAAAACTCAAACTTCTGCCTCACCTTTTTTAGCTTCCTATTAACACTGAGTTTTTACCAGCCCACAATCAAGGAAAACAGTGATGCAATTAAATAATATCAGAATTTATATAAAGGATATTTAAAGGAGATTGGAGGAAGAAAAAAATAGTGGGGACAGAGAGCCTGGAGATGTAGACCTTCTGGTGGGAAAATATATTATCAATTTCTTCAGCAGAAATTTCTAAACTAGTAGGTAGAATAGATATGAGTAATGTTGGGTTGAGCCTCAGCAGGGTTGTTTTCCCCAGAGCTAATGGTCGATAAATCATGCTGGAACAAGGGAGGGATTTTCAGCTGTTTATTTTTGTAGAAACTGTCTTATGCTTGGGACAAAGATCAAGCAGCCTGCATAAAAGTTCAGAGCTCTATAAAAAGTTTCTTTGTTATTTACATGTCAATCTATGTGATTTCTTTCATAACTTTAGTGTTTAGACTTGGTTGATTACATCTGTCTTTTTTAGTATAAAATTATATTTTCTGTGACTCTCTGTGAATTTCATATTCAAGAGATCAGATTTTGAATATCAGACAGTGGATTTTAAATAACAAGCAGCTTTCTGGATCTATTCCTTCCTTCTTTTCAAATGTAGAGGAAATCCTGACTGAGGGAATGGCAGTTATCTCTCTTTGCAAGGCAGTTAGAAAGAAGCAGAAGAGAAACAAAAGAAGAAGGAGGGGCAAGCAAGGAAGCAGTTTACAAAGACTTCAAAAGCATGGCCTAAGAAAATCTGCCCTTCTTTCACTATATTTAACTAATCTTTGCTCACTTGTAAATTAGATGAACCACTCCTTTTAAATAGGAACAACTCAGACTTTTCTAACTCAGCAGCCCTCTGCTACATTGAAACGGGGGCTGGATGACTGGATTAATGATAGCTGCTTGCAAATCCCAGGATTTCAGATTCAAAGAACAGACAGAATTGCAGAAACATCAGGCAAAAAGAAGGGTGGAGGTATCTGCTTTTATATTAACAATCGATGGTGTAAAAAAGTCACTAAAGAAATTTTGTGATGTGGACTTAGAGACACTATTCATCATTTGCATATCCTATTATTCCCCTCCCCCAGTTTTCTTCATTCTTCCTAGTTAGTGTCTCCATATCACCTCAAGCTAGAATAAACAAGGCATTACAAACCCTAACTG